ATATGCTAATTGTGTGCAGCAGAACAATCAATGGAGAGGTTCAAGTGTGATGGTCTGAGAAGGAGTGTCTAGTCACTACAGAACTCCTTGTAGTGATTGATGAATACCTGACTTACTGTTCTACATTGATCAAGTCCTTGGACCTCACTTTGCTGCATTTCCTGCTGGCTCATCCTGACAGTGTTCCAGCAGGGCAACACATCCTTGCAATGCTTGTGTAAGAAACATTTACTTGCCAGATAACACAGTGATTATACCATGGATCGCCTAGTTTCTGCATTTTGGACCCTGTTCAACATCTGTGGGGTCAGTTGGGGTAATGTATAGCATTGAGGGCTTGATCTCATATTTGTCCAAGCAGTATTGGAGGAAAGGGACAGATTCCTACATGACCGCACTTGCTATCTGATGCAAATAATGTATTGCACATGTACTGTTTGTGTTGCTTCCAGTAGTGACCATGCAGATAAACCTTGTTAACTCAGAGTTATTCAGCGTAATGAATGTATGCCATGTCTCTTCAATGAATTGTCAGTGCACTTGCTCTAAAAGGAAACATTTTCCTGATACCTTTGTGAGTTTGTTGCAGCTGTAAATGATGTTTCTGCTGCTGCTCCATATCACTGAGCCTTAACCTTCTTTTCAAAGTGATCCATTGATAGGCGCTTATGCTTAATAAAGACTATGACCTTTTTGCCTGTTGGTTCCTTTTCTGTTTTTAATGCAGTCTCTTTCTAGGTAGAAATGAAACAGAATTAGTGTTTATTGCATAGACCTCTCACAGTACATATGATACCTTTTCATAATAAAGCCATTACCAATGAAGTTCATTTGCAGTTATAAATCTGTTTTGAAGTATTCCAATTAAGATTATTTGTTTACCAGTGAATTAGGCATAGGGTTGAACACATACAAAACAGAGATGGACTTGAGTTGGTTTAATGTGACCACACTTCCAACTGTTTGCTGTATTTTAATCTGAAGAATGGTTCCGGTGCCGAATTCCAATGTTTTATTACTCATAAAATTCCCCAAGTACTGCAATTACATATTTAACTTCCCCATTTAGGAAACAAAAAGAGAAGCATTAGCTCTTGCGTGCTTCATGTGACCTGTAAGTCATGCATTGATGTTGAATTTAGACTATTAAAAGCATGCTTCATAACTATAATTCAGATTGTGGGAGTTACTGTATGGCTGAATTTATTTCAGAAAATGAAACTGTGTAGGAGGGTTCAGGAATGCAGCAGGAAATTTGGAATTTGCTCAGCTGTTGCCTTGCCTTGTTTGCTCTAAATACATGGGAGTAGGCAGTGGCCATATGTACCATCCGTTTACAGAACATTTCTTTCAGTATCATTACTCAAATTGGGCTACAGTGCATATGCATAGCAAAGGCCTATTTGTTTTTCAGGGTCAAAAACCTTGTCAAAAGAATAAATGGTGGGGCTTGAAATTAATTGTATTTATTTATGTTTTTTTTGGCATTTGAAAGTCACCAATATTTGAAGTCCCTTCTACAGCAGAGGCTGCATACCTTAAATGTGTGAAATCATATCCTTAAATTCTTGGAACTGAAAGCTTTTAAAAACAATTCTAGGAAACCTCTACTCCTGACATGTTTTATTGATAAATTCGGCTTTTTTTTGGTGATGGATTTATTACTTGGATATTATTCCTTCAAGTGAAGGGAATTAAAATATACTTTTTCTTTATTAAAGAAATGTTGCACATTTTATATCTATGGTGGTTTACATATAATCTGATTAATATATCGTTTTTGCTGAGGTCGCCTTTTTAATGTTGAGTAACCAATGTTAACTGACAAGATTGATACTATTTCCCTTTTTGAAATGCAAATGTAGTAAATAGGAAAAAAGTAATTTTTTGAAGCCTGACAAGCTGCTACAGTGCTTTAAATGTGCCTTAAATCTTGTTGCGCATTTTGATGCACTGAGAAATACGAAGATTGCCCTAAGCAAGATAGATGTAAAGTGAAATGTAGGCAGAAATGTAAGCTGTAAAATCAAGTTATTTTTCTTTGCACTGGAACAGGAAAGATACCATTGTGCCATGTGAGTAATACACATATTTTGAAAACATTTTCATTCAGTGATTAAAATGCTAGTGTGCTATTAATGAATTGGTCTCTTTTTGTTTTGGCAAACGGATATGTTGAGTCAGATGGTCTTCACAAAGATGGGTTAGCATTAACATAATTATTTCTGAGGCTGCAGGAACTCAGTGCAGTAGTTACCTGAATATTGAAGTTCGCAGCTCTGGTGCAGTCACAGACGGTCTGTACCGGCGTTGTGACAGTCAAGTCCTATGGCCAAATCCCCAGTGTATGCAGTATAAAGGCTGTTTCCATGGTACCATGGGAAACTGCATTCTTCTCACCAGTGAACTGTTACAAACAAGTTTCTATTTCAGACTTTTAGGCCAAAGACTCATTTACTCCATCCATTGCAGGAAATTAGGTACCCCCTCCCCCCAACTAAATCAGTAACAACACTGCCCAACGTCTGGTGACATCTTAATCTCATTATGCAAAAATAACTTCTTCAGTACTGACATTAACACATCCTTTGCTATTGTTTGCATAAACACGTGTGCACCTGAAGAAGGCTCCACGGCCGAAACGTTGTGTTTTCTTTCTTCTCTTTTCAGCACGGAATAAACCTATTACTTGTTCCTTTGCAGCCTACGCATGCTGACGCAGCTACCCACCTGAGCTACTTCAATAAACACCATTAGCTCGCTTCAGAAGTTCTGTTTCTCTGAAAAGGCCCACAGTACAGAGTAGATTTTTAAGCATAATGCATAAATATTCACCTTTTCTGTATGTTAATTAGTACAATAATTGGTCTTGTACTGATTGGACTGGATGTTCCTGTGATCGATCAGAGCTTGGTGACTACTGCTCCTCTGTGAATAGTTCTTGCTTTGTATGGTGAAAGGCACTCTGTTGGGAGATTTTTGTTTTTTTTCCCAATTAAATTAAAGCACTTGTAGAGGCTGATTGTTCAATTATTTAAAGACAGGCTACCTGTAACATGTACTTGTAATTTTCAGACTTATTCTCCATTTTCCAGTCTGTGCCAGTAAGGGATCCATTTCTTATCTGCAATAATCATATCCATAGTAACTCTCTGGATCACTTATCGGATTGGTCTAGTTCAATAGATTAGAACATTCAATTGAATATTATGGCAGGTAGAAGAGCAGTTTTTTTTAACAGATTTTATCTAGTTTCAGCAATGTCCAGTGGGCTTGACTGTAACATAGAAAAAATACTTTATCTAGACTTTTTTTAGATAAAGTATTTTTTTTTACCCCTCAGAGTTCACATACTTAGTCGCATTCACCTATGCCAAATTTCTGTACACCAACACAGCTTTGGGAACAGTGTTGCAGGTCTGAGTAGGTCAATATAGTAGAATCTCCCTCCCAGGAGCATTTAATTAAAACCTGTGACCAAGCCAAGTGACCTGTGGCTTGTCTCCAGTCAGATTTGTGACCTTTTCTTATGAAGGCATCTGAGCAAAATCTATAAGGATGCCTAGAGAGCTGGCCCAAATACTCATTATGTTCATAAATATTCATAGTTTTAACTGCTTTTGCTTTGTGTGTCTTGGTAACCATAGTATTTCTTTTGTTTTCTAGTTTTGTAGCTGGACAACTGCCTTATACAAACGTCTGTTAGTGTTACATGATTGCGTTCATCTTTACTCAGCATTATTTCATGTTTCTGGGGCAGCTGCCTCTTGCACTGCTAAAAAACGTCTTGATGTGCATCTCAGTTCATTGCTTTTCATATCAAAGCTTTCTGGATTGGGAGGACTCGGATGGATTCATTTTAAAACGCCACTCTGGCTGTCTTTGCAGCACCAGGCTCGACTCGTCTCGTGCAGTGAACAGAATAATTATTTGATTGTACTCTTTGTTAAACAGCAGACTTTTAGAAGGGAGACTAGATCACTAGGCAGTTGGGATTTTAAGGATCATAATATGCTACAGTTCTTAAATTCTGCCACAAGAGTTAAGAAGTCTTCACCCCTGTGGTGGAGGACATCGGCAAGAGCGTGAGACTCAACCTTTTCCCATTCTGCTCAACCCCCATCCTGAACTCTAGCCAGACACAAGGCCTCTGGGTAATTATATCTTGTTTACCCCCCCCATTCCTAATTCCCCTTTCCCCACTCTCCTTTTGCACAAAACACATTTAAAAAAGTTTCCATGAAAGGTTTGAATAAATAATGCCCATGATTAGCTTTCCAACACAAAACACAATGAAAAACTTGTATTCATCCTGAAACCCTCATCTTGAAGGCTTTGCTGATGGGTTTTAACAGCAATTTATTGACCCTGTCTTAATGGAGAGCATCAGTGGTTCTTTTGAGTCTCGGGGGGAGAGTTGTTTAGGGGTTTGTGGTGATGGATCAGAGAACTGAAGGAAGTCAGGAGGAGTTTTGTTGTTTAAATTGCTTGCATGAGAATACCCAGTGGATTAGACCATCGCACCTGTTGCATGTGAAGCACAAATAAAATGACAATGCAAGGCATTTTGCTGTATTGCTTCTGAAAGCTGTGAAGCCGCGGGTGTAGGAAGCCTTAAGATGCAGATGAATTGAATTGTTTTACATTAGGCTTGGTTTTTGTTTTCTTTAAATCAAGTGGCATATGCATTTATTTACTTAAGTAGGAATGTTAGCATGCCTGTGTGTATCTTAGATTTTAACATTGTTTTTAAAAAGTACAGGCACAACACTAAACCAGAGGCATATTGCTTTGTTTTGTGTTTTATGCCTAACCTGATTGTGTCAGACACTGCAGTTAATATCTATCTGTGATTTGAACAGCAGCATGAGAGAATTAAAGTTGTTTAGAATTCTAATTAAAACCTGGTGCCTGGTATGTTGTTATAGGTAAATCTCCCAACCACTCTTTTTCCAGTATTTGTATTTGTAAAACCTGTTTTTTTCTTCTGTTTTTTACAGGAGCTTAATTGACGGTGAACTACAATGGGATTGTGAGGCTGCAAAGCTCGGAAGCAGAGTGAAAGAGAGGAACAGAGAACGGAAACAGAGAAAAGGATCAGCCCAGCAGTGACGGTGCATGCTGTCCCTCAGTTTGGTCTGTTCTGTTGTGAGAGAGAGACAAAATGCGCAATAAACTAAGAGCGTGCACGAAGCCTGGGGTCTTTCTCTTGGCTGATGGCAGGACTTCCTTTCTAATGCTGGCTCTGTTGGCAGTTGCTGTCCACGGCAGCTGGCCCGATGGACAAATGGAGGTGGTCCAGGACTTGAGGAACCAGTTGGAAGCTTCCATGCAGTCATCAGTGCTCACAGACATAGAAGAGATGGCCACTGCAGGGGTAGTGCAACCTGCTGGTATCCCAGACTCATCTGCAGTCGTGGGCAGGGTATTTCAGATGAAGGTTCCCATAGAAACCACGGATGCCAATATGGTAAAGGTGAGGACATTTTCTTTTCTTAAATGACTGGGGATTCCCCTCAACCTCCACCACACCCGCAGTCTATTAAAATAAAGAGCCTCGTTTTGAAATTTTTGCAAAAGCAGACAACGTATACGCTCATGTATAAATTTGAAGAGGATCTTAAGCTACAATGTACAAATTAAATACCGAAAAAGAATGTGATGTTGCGATGATGACAATTGGATGGATTGGCAAATTCCAAAGTACCCAATTTGAAGATTAGATTGAAATTTTGTTCCTTTTCTTTGTGGGAAGCATTTGTTCCATAATACCAACTCACTGCAGATGGTGATTTATTATTATACTGACTTCAGTAGCATTATCAGGCAACTAGAAATGCTATGGTATTAATTGAATGCTTTATATATTCCACATAGTTGTCAACTAATTGATCTTATACATTTCTTCAGTGTATAGCTAGATGCATATTTTTTCAGGTTACACAGTAAAAGACTCCTTTAGATGTGAGCTAAGAGGTTTGGTGAATGCCAACTGGTTTTGGACAGGTCTGAACTTTGTGCAGATACACTGGACTGTAATGCGAGTTAATCTAATTGGGATTAGTGGTCAGTGTCACCTGTAAACTGCTTGAGTGGCTTATGTGGCTTGCGAAGCTAAGATGTTTAAACAAAAAGTATTTTTAACATTTAGAGATAAAGAGATTTTTAACTGAAAACCCAAGCAGTCAACAGTAAGTTCAAAGGGATGCTGCATTATCAGAAATAAACATTGGAAGTATGGTACTCTACTCATAGTATAGAACTTAAAACCCAGTATGTCAGAGTATTTAGTAACAAACTGCCACTTCCTATGCTCTGAACTGTATCTTGATATCAAAGTGTGCTGCATTGACAAGGTAATTCTCAAAGCTTTTTCTGATGGGGACCTGTCAGTGTTCAAAGGTACGAATCTAGCAAGAGACAGCATAAATATTTTTGGAAAGCAGGTGAAATTTTCACTGGAGGGAAACGCTTTGAATTTGTCCTGCTATGCTGTTTTGCAGTAAAAGAGAATTCAGAGGATGTTGCCCATGTCTCCTGTCCCTTAGAGCTGTGGGTTTTGAACCTGACCATTACAAAGACTGTGTAATATAGAGTAACATAAGGAAGTTTAGTCATTATTGGAGGGAGGTGATGGTTATATCACTTTTAGAGGGCAATAGCAATGAAATTATCACGTTTATAGCTAAATTGCAAATTAATTTCTGTACTGTACAAGGTTTCTATTCACCAGACATCTTATGCCGATCAGTAAGGGGGAAAAATTGTGTGTAGTATGTTTAAGATTAATTATTCACCTCGCTTAAGGCTACTTAAGTGTCTCTGTCTGTTCTGTAAATCTTAATGGTACAATAAGATCATATAGTTCTCAGTTCTTTGTTATATCAGTGTTGCCAATATATTCTCATCAAGCATTCTAGAAAGAGCTATGCAGAGAAAGGAACAGTTGAGTAACTTTTGACCAGACAATAAATCTATTGCATTACAGCAGTTTGTATCTGTCTCCCTTACATGTGCTCCAAGATGACAGCTAGCCTGGCCTCTGCTAGAAATGCTAGCTGTCATCCTGGAGCACACATGAGAGAGACGTGCTCCAAATAATTCTGATTTGTAAAAATATCCTAACATTATCTGTCATTTAGAAAAATGTTAAGGCTTCTCAGTTAACAGGTTAGAGTGAAGGAGACTGAATTCAAAAGTTGTCTGTGGACAAACCAGAACATATGTAACAAATGCCTCCTGAGGCCATCAGTGCTTAGACTGTGTGATTGCAGATTCAGCTGTGTAGCTCTCATCTTATTTGCAGTTATTTGTGGCTGTCTGAAGCATGTATTTCTTGTTTCTGGTTTCAAGAGACTACGTATTTCCTTTTGTGGTCATGTACAGTTCATTTCTATAAAAATAACAGAAACTTGATGACTCAGTTTTTTTTATCTTATCAGCTTGCTTTAAGAGGTAGTTACTGTATCATATAGGATCATATAGGATCAGAGCCTGTGAAAAAATAACCATTTCATTATTTTTCCAGATTTCAATGCTGACTAGAAAAAAAGGTATTTCCACAAATGTGGTGGTCACAATGGACCTGCTTGCCAAAACGAGTAGTCATTAATGCCTGGCTATTTTGCTCAAAGGACAAGTTGATTTAGAGCTTGCCACACAATTGATTCTTTGCAACCGGAAGTTTACAAGATTAGGCATCGATGGATAGAGCTGAATTGGGTTCACCTAAGTGATGCATTGTTTTCTCTTTTCGGTGTGCATAGTTCTCTAGAATGAATGGAAGACTGTGACCTGAATGCCCCGAATAATTTTGTGTGAATGCTTGTGTGGGCTCCCATTCCACAGGCTTGAGGTGTTTCTCAGCAGATGGAAGTTTTAAAGTATGTGCCAGCTGATGAAAATGTATGACTCCAGCACATTCCTGCTTTTTGTCTGCCACGACCCCCACAGACAGATGTGCAGTCTTCCTCTCGAATGGCAAGATGTCTCAAAAACTCCCGATGTAAATTTATAGCTGTACATTTATTTCTGCCTTGTCAAATGTTTCTTTTAGTAGAAACCATGAACCTTTTTGACATGTTTGGTAAATCTCTCTTGACAGCTATGCCCAAATACATTTTCTTTTTCTGCAAGGGAAAAGTAGGTACAGCTGTTCCTCTAAAATATTTTAAAACTAATTATTTTTGCCACACTCCACTCACACTAAAGGAATTTGTCTATGCAGCTTTTTTATATAAGTATTCTCTTGACCTGTTTTAGTTTTTCACACATTTCTTTTATGGCCTGATTGTCACCTCATGTACTGCTGGATGGTTGAGCTGCATGTTGGAGCAAAAACTCTCCGACCTAGTTTTCTTTGTGTTCAAAAAAGTTATGAAATAGTTATACGTTAAGCAGTGTGTTCCAAAAGAATCTTTGACGTTGGTAGAAGCTTTTCATCTTTTAAGACATTGGAACTTCAAAAAGGTTCTATGATATACTTTATGCAAGGTCAGAAGATATGTATGAAAAGAGTTTGGATCTAAGTTTTTCTGCTTCTCCTCATAAAGCTTGAGTAAAGCTGCTCAGTAAGACCCATTTCTATGCATGATCTTTACAGAAATGCACCAAATATGAAAAAAAAAAGTAAACAAGAAGCAAAGCATTTTACACCTTTAAATACGAATTTGCTTGTTCAGTAATTAATTTTTATGCTTCTTTGTCATAATAGACTAATTATAATAACAATATTCTAATAAGCAAAATTATTCAGTGTTGACAGATACATCCTTCTGTGTATATCTCAACAGGGGTAAAATCTCAGCTAAGTGAAAAAACAAGCGCAGCCTTTACTCTATTGCTCAATTTTTGGCACTACACCCAGCTGCAGAGTGGTAGGTAGCCATAAAAACAGCTGTCTTCACTTTAAAATCCCCTGAAAATCTAAATACCTTAATACCTGAAATGATTAGTGTGGTGGTCTCTTATAGAGAGGTTATATCACAGGACTGTATGACTACTATGAAAAACACCGTTCAAGGACCCTGCTGGGCACAGTGTGAGATACAGAAGCAGCATTTATGTGTTTGTTATACCTTTGTCTTTTTATTTGTAATTCTTGTCAGATACGTTTTGGATTTTGTGAAGTCAATTGATGTTCGTGATGAAAGGCAGAGCAAAAATGGGAATCTCTTTAGCCATTCGGAGTCTGTGCATTTCTCTTTTTTTTTATCCTGCTGCTGTGAGTTTGCACTGATCCAGCCGTGACAAGCTTTTTTTTTTCTCTCTAGTATTTACAGAAGGACTGGTCCTGAAATCTAATTAGCCCCGGCACCAGTGGCAACGGAAAACTTGTATCAGTAAAACATGTAGAGACAGCAGTGACTCATATTTTGGTCAAACGTAAATTGTTCCAGATTAGTCTGCTGAAGTCTGTCTCGTCTTAGATTTCATTTATGTATTTTGATTCTCCTAACATGGCAACAGGCTTTTGTTGAAATCTCCATATTTTATAAAGAATTTACATTTTGCGTTCATTTCTGCCTTTATCTCTATGCTGCAGATTTCCAGATCATGGATTATGCCGAGTATGTAATATAGCAGAATCAAAGTGAAGTGAAGATCAGCATTTAGAAATACATTTTAAAAACCATGGTTAAGAACCTTTTGGTGTTGTTTTCAAATGTTATCAATAACTTGGAGATAATTTTAGTTTCTTCTTTTTTTTTTAGCAAATAGAAGGACCGTGCCACTAGAGGGCAGTAGGTTTGTGTTCTGTACAATAAGATGACCCGTTGGTGCCTATAAGCCAAACCTTGCACATTCAGTGGTCACATAGATGTCCATGTGGTATGACTGATATTTTCATTCTACAGGTCTGTGTATTAGTGAATTACGTAATAAAAAAAAAGCTTCCCTTCCCTCAAGCTCCCTTAAAACTTATACCCTTTTTTTTAGAAAGGTCCTGTATAGTCAATCTTGGTGTGACAGGCTTTTGTTAAACTGTAGTATAATGGACTCTGAGGCCTGCTTGAAAAGAAACTAGCAGATAGATTGGAGAGTGGTGCTGTTGCCATCACAGATCCATGCGGAGCCTGACTGCGTGACTAGCATCCTCTGGTTCAGTGATCCACATGCATTTTCTCAATATAGAAATGACAGCACCTCTCATTTGGCTAACTGTGCAAGATGACTGGTGAGAAATTCCACTTGTACTGCATCATTAGCTTCTGGATTGCTTCTTAATTTATATTTAAAAAAAGTTCAGACAGCTTGCCTAGTGATAAACAAGATCACATGTTTGGGGACTGGCAAATGGCACCTGAGAAACCGTAGATGAAAACTTTTACTGTACCTGTTCCTAAAAGCACTTCAGGTTAAGCCAATTTTTTTTCAGTTAATTTAATTCTCTAGTCTTCACACTCTGCCCTTAAATTATTAAAGGCATTGGAAAGACGGCTTATTTTCCTTGCATGTTTTGTCTTACTAAAATTG